TGATTCTATGACTTGAGCTCCGGGGGGATTGCAGCAGTGTAAAAGTACTGGAGTAGAGAGTTGTCCGGCACCTGAAACACAAGTTGGTTTATATCCCCGAAGGATGGATCCAGAGCCTCCCTAACCCAGCAGCCACGCCACCTCAGCGGTGCCTGCTGCTCCTGTGATGTTTCCCTGTGTGGCTCTGATGTTTCGTAAGCGTACACGGCTTTTCTTTTGCTGATGTCTGAAGTCAGACCTCCGGCGAGCAGGTGGGTTCATGGCTGTCAGCTGAGCCTTACTCCAGCAGTGCCTCAGTTTCCCTACTGGCCTAATCCTGCAGAAGTGGTCAACTCATTCCAGTAACCTCATCTTCCCCCTCTTCCCACCATACGAAGTGCAGACAGAGCTGCTTTATGCATTTGAAGTGGTTGCTGCTGTGGTTCACTTACACAGTACAGTGAGAGGAACGGCAGATAGCAGTGTGTGTACGTGAGAAGTTGTGGTTTTCTGGCTGTTACCTGCTTGTGACCGCCGTCTACTTACCGATCCACCTGGCCTGCTTGACTGACCAGCATTTCACACACTGGTAATCACAAAAAACCACTCGGTGTTTCACAGGTTTGGGTTTTCCAAATTTGAAGTATGGAAACACACTGAAAAGTTAAACTGAAAAAAACACTCCAGAAATAAAATACCACCATCCCCCTCTTTTCTGTCTTTTCCTTATTACTGTCAGTCAGCAAGTAGTACAGTTTAGTCAGGTGGATGATGAATCAGGATGAATACTGTGCTTGTCTTGAATCACTTGGAAAATCTCTGCGGGAATTTTTGCATCTTTCAGGGAAAAAAAAAATTACTAATGGACAAAGGCAAAAATGAAAAGCCTTAATCCAAAGGCTGATTTTATGCAGAAGGATTTTACTTTTTTAAAGCATCAAAATTAAATGTCCTGCTGTCTCAGCTGTAAACCATGAGAATAAATGCAGGATAACCCCTTTTCTGTTCCTTACTATTTTTGCAATTAGTTCACTTTTATCCTACAGAGAGGCTGCATGAAAGGTCTTGTTATTTGTGGCTGTGATAAAATATGCTGGCTCAGCCTGCCTGAAGAAACAGAAGCCTTGGCAGGAATGAAAACAATCTAAGCAGTCTAGAGCTGTGGTTTGTGTGGGTTTTATCATAAAGATACACAAGGGGTCCTGGATGGTAGAAAAGCTGATAGTATCGTCATGACTCAGGAGATTCAGTTGTCCTTGGAAGACCTTGTTTTTCATATTGTGTTACCTGAAGAGGGGATGGGGGGGAACCTTATCAACTTCATGTATGTGTTTATAACATACTGGTGTATTTACATATTTATCTGGATTAGTATATGTTTTTATGCTATTGTTAGGTGGGTTTTCATAATACTGTAAGTACATTGTTGAACACCTGTGTGAAAGCTAGGTACTGATTATGGGTTTGAGGAAGAGCTTGGGAGGAAGGTCAGCTGGGCCAAAAAATTTCCACAGATGACTCCAGAATGTGGGGGAGCAGCTAAGGTGGATCTAGGGAGGGAGAGATGAAAGCCTTTTGTTCTGGGAAGCTGTAGTGAAGGCTTCTGGAAGCAGGGAGGCGGCTGGCAGGTTTGGGCTTCCCTCCCTGCAGGTCCTGTGTCTACCCAGTCTCTCATGATGTGTGTGAAGAAGGTTACTGTCACTGGTATTTTGAGAAAGAAGAAAGAACAGATTGTTGTGGTTTAACCCCGGCCAGCAATCAAGTGCCACACAGCCGCTTACTCGCCTCTCTCCACCCCTGCCTCCAGTTGAGGAGGAGCATCAGAAGAAAAGACAAGGAAGCTTGTGGATTGAGATAAGAACAATTGAGTATAAAATAATATAATAGTGAGATTAATAACAATACTCATAATACTATGTAATGAAAATAATAGAAATAAAACAAATGATAATTGATCACCACCCACTGACCGATATACAGCCAGGTCCTGAGTAGTGAGAGAGCGAGAGCTAACATGGCCCTCCAGCCAACCCCCGGCCTATATACTGAGCATGATGTTCTATGGAATGAAATACGCCTTTGGTCAGTTTGGGTCAGCTGTCTGAACTGCATCTCCCCCCTTGTTGCTTGCAATGAGAAAGTTGGAAACACAGGTGCGGTATCAGAAACTGAAAAAGTTCTTGAATTGGTACAAACACCCCTTAGCAGCAACTAAAAAAACACCAATGTTATCAGTACCCTTCTCAGAACAAAACTGAAACATAACCTCATACTAGCTACTGTGAAGAAAGTGAACTCTGTCCTGACTAAAACCAGCACACAGACTTCAAAGTTTGAGTTAGAAATGAAAAACAACTTGACGTTATGAAGTCGCAAAGTCCCATTAGAAGTAAAACTGTGAACTTTTCTTGTTTAAATAAGTGGCAGCTTAAGTGTTTTCCTAAAAATATTGTGGGATTGGTTCGTTATGACAAAAGCCAGGATATTTGCATTTTTGGTTCTTCTTGCTTTCCAAGTGATTTCATTGTTTACGCAAAAGGATTTATTGAAAACTGCATGAGGTTATCAACCTGTCAAGGAGCTTTTTTCTGTTCCAGTAACTAAAAATTCTAGGTGTTCATTTGTAAGCTTCATTTGGAATGTGGAACACTTACTGGTCCCATGAAATCATTATTAAGAGCAAATAACTAAATGCCTGTCTTTCTGCACAGTTCTAGAGGATGAACCAAAAGAGAGGGATATGAACGATGAAGAGGAGGATGAGGGAGAACAGTTTGACTTTGACAGTGGCGATGAGATACCAGAAGCTGATAGGCATGCCGTTGTGCCACCTCCTGATCCTGGAAATAACATAGAGCACCTGGAGGCTAATGCCATAGGTAAGTCAGTCCGTTGGGCTGTGGCCCCACTGGGCTAATAAATATTCAAGACTGATTATAGGATGCCTTTTCTTAAATAAAAATACTTGTAAATAAAAAATAAAATACTTGTAAATAAATATAGTTGTAAAAAGAGGTTGCTGTGGTGGTACCGTACAGGTGCTTTGAATGTTCTTGGTAATTACACTCACAGTAGATTGGACAAGGCAAGTGACCATTGCATGTAATTCCTGTGAGGATTCCCTTCCAAGTGTGCCATAAAGACAAATGGATTGGTCTGAGTCACAGTGCCATGCTACAGGAAAACGTTATGCTTCTGCACCTCTAATGGCACGTGGATGGCTTGAGATGAGCTGCTTTTGCAGCTAAGCCTACTGGTGTCTGAACTTAAGATGATGTGTGTAAAATTAAATGGAGCCTGAATGTATGAATTTTGTTCATAAATAAGAGTTCTGTTCTATTAAACCGTAAAAATCTTGTTACAACACATGCAGGTGTTGCCAGTGCTGAGGTGTAGACTGGAAATAGCTGTATTTTTCTTAAATCAGCAGCTGATTTTGCTGACTTTGATCCAATTTCCTTTTGGAGTCACTGTGCTCATGGCAATTAAAGATAACTCGTCAGGTGACCATGTAGTTTGACAACTTGGAGCTTCAATACCATCTTTCCCTGAAGATTGTTGCTCACTCACCCTTTTGTGAGGTTGTACTCTACAGCTCAAAAACTTTTGATCACTTGGGATGCAGTTCTGCAGCTCCCTTCAGAGGGGTCTTTGGTTCTGCTGTACCTCATCTTGTCTCAAGAAATACCAGGAACTTCTGTGTAACAGAAAATAATTTATTTTCAAAGGGGAAAACTTGGAAAGTTATTTTCTTTCCCCTTTTCTTAACAGAGCATTTTCAAGACCGTTCTTTGAGGAGTATCGTTACAGTGAACTTATCTCCTCATGGCTATTCCTAACATGTTTTTTGTATTTTTATTCCAAATTTATTTAGAATCCAGATTTTTACCTTCTGGGTTTAAGGCTGTTTTCACATGTATGACAAGCAAAAGAAGACCCTGGATATTTGTCAGAAATCCTCCTATTAAGGATTTAGAATCCAGTTAATGTTTTTCTGTAGGCTTCATTGTAACTCAGCTTGTTTTGCTGCTGTTACATTCCTTATCTGTAAAATGGGGAGGATAGGACTACTGTGTGGGAATTTTATGAGTCTTAGATTGTGAGCAACTTGTATAGTAAGGATCACATCAGTGTTTAGGAAATTTTCAGAGAGAAAGGTTAAGCAGCTTGAACAGGTATGAAAAATAAAATTTATTTGTTGTTTAATTTTTCCACTGAAGGGGCTGATAACTCAGAAAACTGTGAGAAGCTACGAACATCAGAACCTGCTGCGGAAGGCACTCCAGCCAAAGTAAATCCCTACTCAGTCATAAATATTTCACCAATCCAAGACAAGGATCCATCCTCATCACCAGAACCAAGTCCTCAAGACGAATGTGCAAGTCCAAACTTGTCTGGTGGATATTCTGTTCCTGTCCCCTGTGGCTATGCTGTGCCATCTAATTTACCTTTGATATTGCCAGCCTACTCCAGTCCTGTCATAATACGCAGTGTTTCTGTAGATGAGGAAGGTACCGTATTTACACATCTTACTTGATTTGAAGGGGAATCCTTGTTTGACTTCTGGTACCTGTGCTGTACTGTAAATGCCTGTCTAGCACTCAGCCTGGATGCCTGTGGGAGTTATTGTGTCAAAATCGAAAAACAACTCTGACCTGCAGTATGGACTAAAATTTCTTGTCAGACTTAGAAGAAAGATGTTAGTTTATTAAAAAGAAAAAAAGAAGTTCCTACAGGACTCTGCTTGCCGTAGTAGGATTGAGATAAGTCAAGATGCGGAAGAAAAACCAAATGTACAGAGTCAGTTCTTTGACAACGATTTTAAGTTAATGATGCTTGACCTTTGTTTTGCTGGCACTCTGTTACAACATATAGTACAAGGGAGGACTCCTGTCTTACCTTACCATTAAGAATGATTAACACCAATTCCTTTTTAACGTCTTGACATAATTTCCAGAGCCATAGTTCAGTGGTCAAACCAAATGGTTTCTTCTCATAACTTATCATGCTTTATCTAGGTCCTGGGAGTGTTCCTGTCCCTTTTCTATATCCACTTCTGTTTGTTTGTTTGTTTATTTTGAAATCATTCTGGATTTGGAGTTGCTGTGGGATTTTTTTTCCTAGACAATTTGATGAATTCTGTGTCCTTTTGTAGAATTTTAAGACAGAAAAGGAAACTTGAAAGGGAAATAACTGGATTATTACAGAAACAGGAACAGTCCCCCATTTTGTAAACAGAATTGGCAAAGCTGACAGCTTAATGTCAGGAGAGCAGGAGGAACAGGAAGGTCCCCATATCCTGCCTTTATTTCTTTCTTGTCTTTTGAATATGTTATTACTGAGCTAGACAGCTGTTCTGCTGTAATGCTATGTACTGTAATACTTTATTTGTCCAGCCTTTGCTGTCTACCACCATTAGGAATATTGGCAAGTAATAGCAAATGTCTGTGTGGTTGCTAGTACCTGTAGAGGAATATAGTTTAAACGATTAGGATTCAATGCATCAGGGATGTAATTTCCTCTTAATAGCTCTTATACCAAACTGCTCTGTCTCTGAGTTCTTTCACTTGCAAAAATGGATAGTGTCAAGAAGCTTTTAAATTTTTTTAGATGTGTTTAAGAATAAAAGTATGTATAGAAGTAGATCATTCATTAGCAATGAACTAGTAAAATCAGTTTCTTAGGCTAAAACATACCATTTGAACCACACTGATGTTTTATTCCAACCATTTTGGTGCTTATATTTTTTTTTCCTACTTAGCAGGTATGCAGTCAACAAATGAAGAAGGTCATTGTAATTCTGTAAACTCAGAGGAGCCACGAAATAGGTGATTACCAGTTCAGCATGTTTTAATGAGCTGTAAAACCTTAAGTCCTAGGAAAGCTGACATATGATAAATATTTTATTTTTCTTGTGTGATGCTTCCATGTTTGTTTTCATTTTTTTAACTCCTTAACTCTGTGTACCAAAATCAGCACTGGTTGAGGTCTCATATGTATAACTGTGCAGGATACTTTTAAAGGAACTAGGTTTAATTTTTATGTAGTCATAGCAAAGTGAGCTGCAACAAGGTGCTGGAGATCTTGTAGTCCAGCCACCTGCTTTCAAAAAAGCAATTAGATCACCAATGGCCTTGGTAGCTGAGCCTTGAAAACCTCCACAGACGGAGATGCTGCGGCTTTCCTGGGCAGTCTTCCCTGCTGTACTACCCTTTGGTGATCTTCTTTTCTTTTTCTCTGATGTCCACACCAAATCTTCCAGTGTGCAATCTGTTGACCGTTAACCCCTTGTGTATCAGTTGACATTGAAAAAAAGCAGCCCCACAACCCCCAAAACAAACCCAAACCAATAAAGCCTGCCAACACCATCACCTCTGTAGCTCTCATTCAGATAGTTGTAGCTGCCGTTGGATCACCCCGTAGCAGCCTTTTGACCACACTAAATAAGCTCCATGTCTTCCACCTCTTTCCTTGTAGGCCATGTGCTTTAGTCCCTGACTTCAATTTCTCTACATCTCTCTAGAGGTAGCTTTGATTTTTCCACAACTCTCTAGAAGGGGAGTGTGTTGGGAAGCCAATATTAGATGTGCCGCTGCAAGTTCAGCCTCACCAGCACCAACCAGAGGAGGGTAACAGCTTTGTTAAGCCCGATGGCTCGTGATGTAGCCCAGAATGTCTTTAGTCTTATTTACAGTGAAAGAGCAACCCTCATTTCACAGCTTTCTGAGAAAGAGTTTTCTCTGTTCTGGTAGAAGAATTCAAAAGCAAAGTAATTCTTCAGATTGAAAAGGAAATGTTTTCAATTTCTTAACTAAAATTGTCAGACTGTAAAATAGAATAGATTATTAATCTCCTAATTACGTACTAAGGCAGTGTTTTTGAGTAACCAGCAGCCTCTGAGTGGGAACTGGAAGGCGGCAAGAAATTCATTGTCTTGTTTTCACTGTTGTTGAAAAACGTTGTGGTGTAGCTTTTAATGCTTTTATTTTATGGCCTTTTTTTCAAGTGAAGATAACCAGGCCAAGAAAGAGGATGATGCTCTGGCAAAGTGGGTTGCAGATCCTGCAAATACAGCATGGATGGAAAGTAAGTATCGGTGAGCACCGAGGTACAGCTGTAGAAGGTCAGTTTTAAATTGTGATCAAAAGTATCCATACGCACACACATATTTCACAGGAGTTTCCTTGTTCACTTTTATTGTATTTTTTCAGATATGTTCCAGAACTGTCACACCGGTTAAAACAGCAGTGTAATAAAATTGTGTATTTTAGAATAAAGTTAACGTTCACTTCTCCATGGGGTGCTTTTTGAAGTCTGTGGGATCCTTCGTCGCTGTCTTAAGGACATCAGTTGGCTCCATCAATACGTGTACAGTGGAAATTTGCTCCAGTTCAGTCTGCTCTGTGGCTGTATATGGAATTGTTGTTCTCATGCAATAATTGGTAAATAAGTTCTTGGAGAAGGTGGAAGGGAAGGAACTGCCACTTTTTCTTAGTGTGTCCCCTTGGCTGGCAGCTGCGTTTTAAACCAGAACAGAGACCCTGTGGCTTGAGGACAGGTTATGTTGCCTGTTCTCAGCTGTTTCCACTGGGCTGGAGGTTCATCTTACATGTTGCTTGAAGTGACTGAAGAATTTGCATCCTTGTTCTGCCTCTTAAATATACTACAATGAACATTGTTATTTAGTTTTCGTTCTTGAAAAAACATCTATTGCAGCTTCTCTACAGCTCTTCAGGAAGGTGACAAGCAGCCTTCAACAAGCACTACCATGTAGAGCTCTAAAAAGAGGAGAGAAATGTTGGCTGTTGAAGTGGATTTCTCTTTTCAGGCTACCAAAGGTCATCATAAACAATGCAGTGTGAAATTTCACAAATACTTAATAGTGGTTTTGTGCATTTATTTGAATGATCATTAGATGTACTAGCAAAATGCTAGTGGAGAATAAGACGTGTCTCCATTGTATTCATATGTGCCAACATAACCAAAATTCTATAGAATAGGATATTTCAGTAGGAAGGGCCCTACAGTGTTCAGCTAGGCCAAATGCCTGACTGCTTCAGGGCTGACCTAAAGCATGTTGTTAAGGGCATTGTCCAAATACCGTTTTTTGGTCCCATTCAAATGCTAGGGGTTTTCTCATTTGTCTTTTTTTTCTGTTTTACTTTCAGACCCAGATGAAGTAATTTATGATGATGTGCCAAGAGAAAATTCAGACTCTGAACCAGGTTTGAGATCTTTGTTATACAGCCCATGTTGAAAGCAATGTAATGATGAATCTGTCTATTCAGTATATATGCATATAATTCCATAAGCACCTAAAATATATGTATCAGTGGAATGAATACTGTGTCAGTAATCTGTTGGGCTTACAAAGTTCACAATTAAGCTAACTCTTGAGAGACTTTTTCTTAACAGGGCTCCTACACCACTCTTCTCAGAAGTTGAATTTTGCTTTATTCTATAGATACTGTCCCGAATACTTGAATATTCTGTATATTAGGGAATTACAGTGTTGGTGTTGTAGCTATAGTGAGTTAACAAGGCAAGGTAGGTAGGAAAAGGGTGGTTTAAATAGTTAAATAATGTAGATAATGCATCAGTCACGGTTACATAGAGAACTGCTTTTTACTTGAAAGTCCCCCTTCAACCTAAAAATACCTGATAGATGGAAGAAGAGATTCGGAGTAGCTGTTTACCATCCTGTCTGTAACTCTACAGAAGTGTTTTATGTCAGCTTTGAAGTGCTCCATCTCCTGATGGTTTGACCATGTTTGGAAGGGACAGACTATATCTTAAGGTAGTTGATGGAGCCAAGATTTTACCTTTGCTGGAAATGGTGGAGCTAGGGCTCCAGAAGCTTATTTCAATGAGCTCTTGCTCAGATTTGTTTTGCAGTTTCTGGTTATAGTGAAAACTGCTTAAAGATTGGTTGCTACTCTCTGATTTAGTGTTTGAGTGGATCGGCTTATTAGGAACTCGGCACCTCCTTGTCATGGCTCTCAGAGGGTGAAGGTGTTCGATACTGAAGTTGTTCTCTAATCCTTAACACTTAGGCTTTTTTGTGTGAAAACCACATTTATCTCTAAAACTGTAACACTTTCATTTCTTGTCTTTACAGCGTTCAGGCGAGGTGTTTTGAAAATTATTACTGAAATTAGTTTCATTTATTATTTGAAAGGATTATGTTACATTTGTGACTTGAATGCTTTTATTACTGGAAGGTCCCTCAGTGGACTGTGCTGCGCTGGGCAGGGACATCTGTGTCGCTGCTCAGTCAGAAAGTGTGTACACCAAGGCCAGGTGGCTGAGCTGGGGAGAGATATGGGTCGTGGACCAAAGCTCTGCTGAGCATCTCAGAATTTTCAGTTTAGGTCAGAAGATACTGATGAAAAATTTGGCTTTTTGTTTGTCCCCAAAGACATTGAAAGATTCTGAGAAAATAGGTAGTGAGGGAAATTTCATCTTTGTATCTTTATGATCCTGTTGTCTTTTATTTGTGTACTTTGTCAGGGAGTCATGATTATTCCAGAAAAGTCACAGTCAGAACTCAGTCTGCATCAGCATGTGGACAGGATATGTCCACCACATCATTGATAAATCCTGCCCAAATGACTGGCATTGCAAAAGTTTGACTTACATAAGTCTTGACTTATTTTGACTTATTATGATGACTCTCTTAAATTATTCATTGTGGTGGATAGATTACTAGATTACTACTAAAATGTCGTCTTCAGTAAGTGTATTTTAGGGATAGTCTTGATATGCATGGAGGTTTAAAACAAAAAAATCTTAAAATTTGACTCTTCCAAAGTAGCAAAGATTCCTTTTTGTTAATTACTAAAAAAAAAGTTAATGTTAAAATAATATTATTGGTCAAAATGTAGTTTTTAAATCACAGAATCCCGGGTTTAGATGGATGTGTAGAACATGTCAGCTTTTCTTTTGAGTACATGTTTTTTTCTTGATTTAGGTAAAACTTCAATCTTAAAGTGAAAGCACAACTTTTGTTTACTGTATTTAATATGAGACAGTTTTAAATGTTGTATTACAACCTCTGACAATAGGGATCCCTGGCAGAATTGTCCACCATTCTCTACTTGTAATGAGAAATGATGCAGGATGTGGAGCACATGCCTGTTTCCTGATAAGTAATTGGCACTAAAAATTTCCCATTTTGTTTGGAGTCAGTTTGTCATTCTTGACATCTGTGCTGATGAAAAGACCCATGTCTTTGACAGGTGATATTTTGGTCAGCCTCTGCAGTAGGGCTTTCTGTATCTTGAAAAGGTTAATACTTTAAGCTCTTATAAGGACTAGATTATGGCCAAGGTAACCTGCAGAGGTGGGAGGTGCCTTCTGACTGGTGGAGTTGCAAGAATGGCAAGTGTCATAAAAATATTGTAGCGTAACACGTTTTTTGGTACTTTGGTCTGATTGGTTCTGCTTGAAGTAGTGACCTTTTGGGTTGATTCTCGCAATGTTTTAGCATTTGTCACTTGAGCTGATTATGTTGTTCCTTGGGACGAATGGCAAGCTTGCAAATTGAAGGATGCTGCTTCTCCATGCCGACATGTTCACAGCTACAGTCCCAACTTCCTTTAAATATCTTCCAAAACATGTTATGGGATTTGGACATAGCAGTGTAGTTTGAGTAGGACACGTTTTTAAAATTATTTTGGTGTGTACCCATCACACTGTCCTCTTCTATTATTCTGTTTCAACAAAGACAATCCACTTTGGCTGTTTGAATGTTGGATTTCGTTTACATTTAAAAATGTGTGTACAAAAATCTGTATAGTTCTTGATAGTACATCGTGAACAAGTTTTTTGGTGTTTAAACAAACAAATTTCAGTGTAGATTTTTTAATTTTGATTAATTCTTGCAGAAGAAATGATTTATGATGATGTTGAAAATGGTGATGATGGTGGAAACAGCTCTCTGGAATATGGGTGGAGTTCAAGTGAGTTTGAAAGCTATGAAGAACAGAGTGATTCTGAGTGTAAAAATGGAATTCCCAGCTCCTTTTTGCGAGGCAACCACAAGAAACATGTATGTATCCCACAGTGCTGCTTAGTCATTGAGGTTACGCTGATTTCCAACACTTGCCTTTCTCGCCTGTGTTTCCCTTCTCCTCAATTCAGTTTCAAAGGCCACCAGCATCCTTTTAAAGGAGATGTGAATCAGTGTGGCAGTGACAGTCCACCACAAAATGTAACAGGAAAAAGGAAAGATGAAAATATTAAACAAAAGCTTCTTAAAACACTCAAATTGTTTAAAAGTGAAATAAAAATGAGATTATTTGTGCTTGTGGGCAGTTCTTCACCTTTTCTTTCTTTCCAGTTGCTGGATTAGTGTAAGTGGTAAATAAATGTGGAAAATAATGTGAAGAACAAATAGGGGTAAGCCTGACAAGACTTGTTTTGTGATCCTTCAGGTGCTCAAGAGTCACAAAACTGTTCACCACTGTTCCCTACCTTTCTGTCTTAGATCTTTATCACTTTGGATTTTTGAAGGTGACTAAGCTTAAAAAAGCCCTGAAAATAAAAGGGGTTTTTGATCAAAGAGAAGTCTGTACCATTTGTTAATGAGAGAAGAGAGGTGGTGTGATTAAAATGATCCATCTGTGACACATCTCTGGTCTAGCATCTTTGGCTACATCCATGGCGCGTGAGGCAGGAAGACACTGCTGGTGTGGCTATCTGATTTCGCTTCAGGAGGAGCCCTGGACTCCCAGGCTCCTGCTGCTTTGGCTCCTCTCCTTCTGCCCTCGTGCCCTTTCTGTGGGTGGGAAACCTTGCCTGGGCAGCCTTGTGCTGCTGGTTCCTGCTCGGTGCTTGGAGGGCACAGTGGGGCAGGGCAGGGCCAGAGTCACTGCCAAATCCTCAGGCCCCATAGTCTGTGCTGGTTAGGGATGGACACCCAAGGGCCATGTCACAGCTGCTTCAGCACCCCGTGGCTGGGGGATGTTGGGGTTGTGGCCAGGGTCATCTTCCATGGGACCCTTATTTTCATTTTGCAGGTTTACTGATGAGTATAAAAGCCTCATTGTGTTTCCCTCTAGTTTCTGTGTACACATTATCTTGCTGCCCACCCTTCTGAAATCAGGGAGTGAGGAATTTACTGCAAGACTTGAGCCCACCCAAGTCAGCACTTTGTAAGCTGAAAGCTCATCTTCTGGTTTTGTTTTGTTCTGACTAGAACATGTTTAAGCTGTTGCAGCTGTTTTCTCTCTGGTGAGTGTTTAACTAAACTGAAGAAAACTGAGTTTGTTTTTTTCTTTTTTTTCTTACCTTTCTAATTTTCTTTTTTACACTATCTTAAGAGACTGGGGTTTAACTTTGCCTGCAAGTGTGTAAATTAACGTGGCTTCTGGTTTGTTCTTTTTTTAAAAATCTTTTCCTGTCATCTGTAGCTTCAGCTTTGGCCATACTCACACCAATCTATTTACACATGTGCACAAAGCAAGGTTTAAAGCTGTTTTTTAAACACTTGTTAAGTATAATTTGATCTGTTGCAGGAAACTGTTGGCAGGGAGTTGAGACTCTTGGTGCCAGGATCAAGCACAGAGTGTCAGAGCAAGAGACTGAAGTGGGGTGGGAGGAGAGAGGTGTGCTCCAGGGTGCTGCCTCATAGCTGGCTGTTCCAGGCCTGTGACAAAAGACTTTGAGGATTGCCTTGTGAGGATTAGGATGAGAAGACTAGGAACATGTTAGTTGGTGGATGGAGAAGTCAGAGAAGCTGCTACATCTGAATGGGTTACTGGGAGGTGAAGTCAGGAAACTAGAGAAGAAGTGGTTTGGCAGAGAATGAGGAAAGATGGGAACTTCAGGATTGCTGAAATTAAATTAAAAACACCCAACCAACAACACCAAACCAAAAAACAAACAGAACAAACAAAACCCCTCAAAAAAGCAAAACATCAAAAACCTAACCCAAAATAAAAAAAGCCCAAACCAACCCAAACAAAAAAAACTCAGCTCTTCCTGCACCAGCACTTCAACACAGGCAGAAACCACTCCACTTCATACTTTTTCTCTATCCGTTCTGTGTACTAACTCTCACTTCTCCTCAGGTCCTGTGATGGATGTACAGTACTTTCCCAGCCCATCTCCTTCTATAGTCTTTCAGAGCCTATGAAGGACTTGCCTTGCTTGTGATTTTTAGTCTCTGGTGAAAAGTAGGGGAAGGTTGGAGGTGGGATTTTTAATTTTAAGTGCTGGTATGCCTTTCCTCGAAGTCACTTTTTCATTATGACTCATTTATTTATTTGAAGTCAGGAAGATGGTTGTGCAATTAAATATTTCTAGCCTGTGAACCAGATGCTGTTCTTAATTGTGCTGCTGTAGTGCCAGAATCATCATGATGGAGGTGATCGCATCCTGACCCAGCCCAGTGGAGCTAAATGCCGGACCTATCCCTGTGTTTTCAACTCAGTAGGCGTTCTCTTTCCTGGTGCTTTCATCTCTTGCCAGATAACTCTGTTGACATCAAGCTGAGAGTTTTTCCATTGGACTTCTATTACAGGGTGCACCAAATACTTTCCTTGTTTTTTCTGGTTACATTTTTCTGGCTTGTTTATGGTAATTAGTATTCCAAATGTAAATTAGTATTCCAGAGCATTTCTGTGGGATAGTTTCCTTGCCTTGCAACTGGATATATTCCTGTACCAGATGGCTGCACCCCTGGTGATACAGTGAGGCTGTGATAGGTGCATGGTGGAACTACAGACTGTGCATCCTCCCCTGTTAGTGTCTCCTTACCCAACTCACTGGCACTGCTGATCGCCACCTTCTCAGGTGCCAGCATCCTCTGCAGCTTCTTCAGCCTCTGATTCACCACTGTGAAGAATAGCCAGAAATATACTCGCTAGGGTTTGTGCTCCAATGAATGATGCTCGTAGCTAAAGCTGATGTTTTGTCCTCATACAGTCTGTAAGAGATCTGCACAGTATAGTTCATAAGCAGTGAGCTTATCCTTAGCTGGTCTTTACATAGTTGCCGGCGTAGCAGAAAGGCACCCGATGGAGTTTCAGAAGGTTCACCGATGCTCAGGATTGATGGTCCATTCGTCAGGTTGGAGCTTCCCTAAGTGGTAATTTTCCCTCGGTTGTCTGTGCATCGATAGGCAGAGCGGGCAACATGCATGATACACGTGGCTGCTTTAGTGTGAAGTTTGCACTGCAGGCTTTGTGAAAAGATTGTGTCTTTTTATACACCATAGCTTTCTCATGACCTAACGCGTTTAAAGGAGCATTATGAAAAAAAGATGAAAGATTTGATGGCAAACACTGTGGGAGCAGTAGAGATTCAGCAACTAAAGCAAAAACATGAGCTGAAGGTAGTGTAGTTGATTTTTGTAACTAGCTACGTTTAAATGATTGCTTTTCCAACACAGACAATGTTGTCTTTTAATAATAACTTGAAAAAGCGAGCAATAATTTGTATTAAATGAATTCTAAATGTGCTAGATTATTATGCGGTTTGTCTTAAAAGTGCTTTGCAAGGACATTTTCTCAAGCTGATTTTCAATGGTAATGGTTCCAGACGATGAGATAGGGCATTGTCCTTCCCTGCTGAGTGGTGCCCTCATTCCAGAGCATGAGCCAGGCGTGCAACCCCAGCGCCCCTGAGACGCTGGAGAGCTCTGCAGGGCTAGCCTGGCCCAGGCTCACCAGCCACGAATGGATCAAGTTGTGGGAGTCAGAATTTCACTGCCCTCCATTCTGAATGGAACCAGTATGAAAAGGCTGGGTTTTTGCTCAAAGCTTTGTCTCAAACCCATAAATTACCTGATGGCTGGAAGACAGCTTTGTTTGTGTTCTGATGTCGCTGATGATGTCAGCACGGCTCTGACAGTAGCAGGCATTTTTTTGTCATGGTGGCATTTGGGGAAAGCAAGAGTACAAAGCCGTTTCTTTTTAATGAACATTTCCTAGCAAAACAATGCTTTTTTTTTTTTGCATGAAATTTTTTTTTGCTGTAGTAGTGTACTATAAAATTATGTAATTCTTAATTAAATAAATTAATTTCTTCAATTAATGAAATCATTAGTTGTAACATCTTCTGCAAAACAGTGTTAATTTGAGAGTATAGTTAATATATAATTGGTTCTAGGGGATTGTCTTTGACAGAGCTAGTGGAGCATTGGGAGATGGACAAGAACCCTGCCCATTAATGGCCTGTTCCTAGTATTTATTTATTATATAATGTAAATCTGAGCATTTGACACTACTCTGAATTTGGATGTTTGATGGAAAAGGGTTCTTAAGCACTTAGGCTATTTTAGGCTTGTATACAAATTGCCATGAAGTCCCTTTCTCCAGGTTTGGTTTTATTAAGGAAAAATACAGGTGCTCAGATCTAAGCTTTGATGGATCTGTGTACCTGATGTTCCTTTGACTTTGGGCTGTATTTATAGCCTCAACTACTTGACTGTGTTCTTTTTAAAGATAACGTGATCAAAAGTATTCTGGTTGGTATGCGCAAACGTGTTCCTATTATTCACTGAACATGTAGACTGTATTTTTTATCTTGCAGATGCAAAAGCTTATGAGAGCAGCTAGAGAAGGTACCAAAGATGGGCTCGAGAAGACAAAAGCAGCCGTGAAAAAGGGTCGTTCTTTCATTAGAACAAAATCTTTTATTTCTCAAGGTATGTGCCAATTACGCTGTGTTTGTTACTCTAGTCACTTCTGAGAGCGCGAATGTCCGAGCAGGGTTTTGTGCTGGGAGCTGAGTACTGGATGCATGAAGTCGGCTTTATTTCAGTGGTGTAATACTCTGTTCAGATGACAGTATGGTCAATGAATCTTGAGTAGTTTTAGGTTTGGGGCAAAAACCTGAGTAACCTGAAGACCACAGAGAAGGGTCCACTTAACAACAACAACAACAACAAAATCCCACCAGTGTCATAGATGCTGTCTAAGTATTGGTATATGGGAGTGTGGAAATGATGCTAAGGTATTAAGTCTGTCCGGTTCCCTTCATCGAGTAATTCCTGAATGTCAGGAAAGTGCTGTTACAACAATGTTGTGGTGGTTTAACTCCGGCTAG